CAGCTGCTCCTGCTGCTTGCGGTCTGAACATTACAGCTATAAATAATGTTGTGTGCCACCCTGCTCTCAACTTCAGGTGCATTTAAGCAGGAAAACATTCCCACATTTCCTCTTCCTGGATGAGCATGTAGTGACAGTGACAAAAGCCTTCATGGAGCACAAAGCTAACTTTATTTTAGATTCATTTAAATTACTCAAAAATCTATTCATGTGCTGAGCAGCATTTGTAACTTCTGATATATTCAGGGTAACAACTAAAAAATGTTTTTAAATCTTGAAAAACTTGATTATGTGCTTTTCTTCAAATGTAATTTTCCAAATCCATCCTTTGTTTGCAACAATAATAAAACAAAATTCACTACATTTTATATCGGCACACATATACAAACAAACTTCAGAGTTTTATGTAATTTTGAACAAACACATAAAGAAATAGAGTGAAAAGCAAGCGTACCTCTGTTTCCCTTAATATAGTGAGGTAATCAGGCAGAGTCACTTTGACATCATCTCTGACTGTTTGACAGCCGGCAGCCTGGGGCATCTTCAGCGGGACTCCGTCCATTCTGCTCGGTCTGCTGAGGGACACAGGAGGACAATTACAGTGTCTCCTAAGTTAAATGGAAATCTTCCCGTTAGGTTTTCTGCACGAATGGCAGCTGCCCTGCATGTGGAGCATGTAAAGGTGACTGTGGATTTATTTATTTAATCTTTTTAACAGTGTCCTGTCTGGCAATATGGCAATAAGAATAATTGTCTTGATGTCAAAAAGAGCCCAACTCAGCCGGTCGCTGAGGCAAAAACTCGGGCGTGGGAAGAGTTCGGAGAGGCCATGGAGAAAGTCTTCCGTACCGCTTCGAAGCCATTCTGGTCCACAATTCGGCGTCTCAGGAGGGGGAAGCAGTGCAGTACCAACACTATTTATAATGGGGGTGGTGTGCTGCTGACCTCGACTTGGGACGCCGTATGACGGTGGGCGGAGTACTTCAAAGACCTCCTTAATCCCACCAACACGTCTTCCATTGAGGAAGCAGAGCCTGGGGGCTCCGGCTTGGGTTCTCCCATTTCTGTTGCTGAAGTCACTGAGGTGGTTAAAAAGCTCCTGGGTGGCAGGGCTCCAGGGGGGGGGGATGAGATTCGCCCTGAGTATCTTAAGGCTCTGGATGTTGTGGGGCTGTGTTGGTTAACGCAGCTCTGCACTATTGCGTGGACATCATGGAAGGAAACTCAGGTGGTTAGTAGCTAGTTTTCTATCGCTGGCTGAGCTTAATGTGCTTCCTAGTAAATCAGAGGCCATTTCTGGAAATAAACCAGTTTCCTTCCTCTCTTTGGGGTTATTAAACATGCTACCAAGTGGCTCCGCAGTTCAGGGAGCGAGAGAAAGGTGACGCTCTTTTATTTAAGTCAGGGGGAGATGAGTTTATTTCCCCAAATTGTACAGTAATGCTTTTTAATTAAACTGATGTTTTCTCCATTAGATTTAGATGACTGTGAGGAGACGGGTATCCTGGTTGGATCAGAGGCTGCAGCTCCTGTTCACTGCCTTCTGTTCTCACTGAGGCAGGCAGAGATAAAATGTCCCAGGCGAAGGTAGACGAATGTCTCTGAGCAATTACCAAGTTCATTGCTTCACAGAATCGATAAGAGAATCAGAATCGTGAAAATCTTATCGGTTTGCATCCCTACTGCTGCACTTTAATGGAAATGTCATGAAATCTGTGTTTTGTAAACACTGTGTGTCCAAAATGACAACAAAAGTGATCAAAGTCCGTCTACTGCCTGCAAACGCGGAGAAAAGTTAAGGTCTAAATCAGTTTACCTTCTCAGACTCGCTGCTACCTTTCTATACTGGTGTTACACAGTGTTCACACGCAGGTAATGGTGCAAAGCGGCATAATAACAGAAACATGCTCCCTTATGGACACCATGTAGATTCAGTGAAAGGAGGCCTTGTTAAACAGATGGTCTCTGTTAAGTCCAGCGTCACTGATTGCTGTGATGTCAGAACAAAGCCTGAGCTTCTGCTCCGTCTGTCGGTTAAAGTCAGTCAGACACATGCTGAAGAGAAGGAAACCCGGGGGGGGCAGATGGTGTAGGACTTCCAGCAGTAGAGAAAACAGACGCTCCTTAAGCTTATTTTGCTGCCTTTGATGTGCATCCTAATAGAAAAGCAGCTGATCAGCTAAACTTGAGCAAAGGTTTGATCACAGGAAGCACTTAAATTGAAACTAATGCAGCAGGTTAGCAGCAGGCATAAAGTTATAACCTGGATGCTACTTTAGGTCACTAATGGAGAATATTCACCTAAACTGCTGAACTTTGAAGTTTAGCTCTTCTAAAAACATTATTCCTCATCAGCTTTAATCCCATCTACATCATTTTAATGATGATTCTTTGATAAAAATCAATCAGTGATCTTTTATTCATGAACTCTGACTCTGCTTCATTAATAACCAAAACCATAAACTTTATAGAGTCACTAACTCTTAATAAAAACACTCAAAGGGAGTTTTCTTTCTAAATATCTGCCTCTGAAGTTGGCAGAAAAATATTTTACACAATAGACATTTCATGCTATCAGTAATCCTTTAAATTGTTCCATCAGTCAGGTGTGTTTAAAGCAGAGAACCTACCTGAGTTCCAGACTCCTCAGACTGAAGCAGAGACTGAAGCCTCAGCAGGTGGAGTCAGAACTGAAACTTTAATCCTCAGTTAGTCTCTAAGCAGTGACGCATCAGGCTGAGCAAACATGGAGGGGATTCTTGTGGTGACATCACATTCCTTTAACTTTGACTTTATAGCACATTTTCTGCTCATTTATTCTTGTTTAAAGAAAGAAAGTCGACTCTGAAGTTTCACATCTGTTGCTTTATAAGTTAACTTTTATCTTATAATTATTAACAGATAAACCTGAGATCAAAGATGTGATCCAACTAGGGCTGAAACAATTCATCGGATTAATTCACTGATCTCTATTGCTGATCGTCTGTTGGTGGTACGGGGTTGAAGTGAAGCCACCGGCCGCCATATTGGTACTCCCTAGTTAGACCGGTCGCAGTGTAAACAATCCGTGGGCTGCAGCATCGAACAACAATGATGTTCTCATTTTCAGGGACTTAAGACTTTTAAAATAAAGATATATTCATCACTTTGACACAGACTGGCTGTTTCACAGCATCAGTAGATTAACTTAGAATAAAACAACCGGCCAATCAGATTGCAGAGTCATTATAAAGTCTATAAATCAATAATATAGTCTATAAATCATGTAATATAACATATTATACAAACCATCACAATAAAATTAATGTGTTAATGAATAATACAGATGAGATAAAAGTGATTAATTGATGATGTTCATGTTATATACATGTATTAATGACGTTGTGGTAATTACATCTTACATATGATTTTAAGATTTTACATAAAGATTGAGTTACTATTACATGTCTGTTAATGCTGTAGTATTTTTCTTTTAGCAGATTTTGCATGATGCCGTATATTATTATACTCTCTGTGCATCAGCCTTAAAATCTGACAGATCCTAGAATAGAGTTAAATTAATGAAGCAGTTTAAAAACCACAGAGCTTCAGTTTCTAAACCAGCAAAATAATAACAGGAAACATCAAGTTGATATTTTGCTGTTTGCTCTAAGTTACACTGAGAATCTGATCATTTGCGGCACTGATGACTTGGCGTTTTGCAGGGTCAAAGTTCTGATGTAAAACAGTGTAAATGTGGATTTTGGCCTGATGTGTTTGTGATGTATAGATTTAAATGTGCTTATAATTGCGTATAGATGTATATAGATTTTTTTGTGTGTGTGAATATTAGAAAAAAAAAAAGTTTAACAGGAAGTTAACCCTACTTAAAGTTAATCTAAGAGCAATGAGAGAGAGTATTTATAATTACTTTACTTCTTCAGTCCCTTTTTTCAGCCAATTTCCATAAATCGATGTAATTTCTCTGGTTGTGTTTAAACCCACAGGTTGATTTGCTGGAAGTTTCTATTTATATTCAGGTGAATTTAGTTGGTTTGATGTTAACTAGTCTCTTTCGTTTGTATTTTGTTGATTCATTTATTGTTGTTTGTCAAAATTGTCCAAAATAAATTCCTGTTCATAAAATGTTCTTTATTTCAACATAACTTCAAAAAAAGGGAAAAAATGATCATTTCGACTTTTGATTTTGTTGTTTATTTTCAACTCAGTTAAGAAAATAGCAAAAATACTTTTTGAAACAAAATCTTCAGTCAGGCCCATACATAGTATGAGTGTCACTGTGTCTGCGTGAAGTCCTCGTCTGCTCTGTGGGTCAGAGGTCATCTTCAGCAGCCTGCAGGGCAGAGGCCCAGGTTTGGTCTGATGGGGAGTCTGGCAGGACCCAGTTCTGAGGAACGGAGGAACCATCCGGATGATCTCCTGAAACCAGAAACGCATCCCAGTCCCTCCTGGAAGAACAACACAGGAAACAATATTTATTATGGGGGGTGGTGGCCTAGTGGTTGGGGCAT